TATGTAGGGAGAAAAAAAATGGCGTAATGGTTTTTATGGTTACACAAAAACATAAATAATTAAATAATATAGAGAATTATTTTCTGCTTGGATGGAGTTTATAGACAAGCAACCCAAAAAAAAAATTTGCAAATTTATTCAGCAGGAAAATAAATTCGAAAAAAAAAAATATAAAATAAAATGTAATGGAGGTTGTGGTGCTGAAAAACCACAAAACACAAATATATATATGAACTTATATAACAACAATTTCCAATACCCAAAAAAAAATATATATATCCTGAAATATTATATAAAAGCCATCAGCCACCAAACTAATGAAATCAAATATTTATGGACAAAAATTGCATAATAAATGTTTTGTGATAAAAATCTGTTTCGTGGTGATGGTGCTACACACACACACACACACTCACATCCGAATAAAATCCACTACCACCAGCATATGAACATCACAAACATAACTTCAAATTCAAATCAAAATCCCGCTAGTGCAATAAAATAATAATAATAATCATCATCATAAACAGCAATGTTAAAATCGCAAAACCACAAACATTCCGGATGCACTCTTCCCTTCATCTCTTCCCATTCACACAGTGAAATTTTTCCATCTCCCTAACTTAGTTGGCATTTCATTGGAAATTTAAAGCCTATCCCATAGGACAATGGCATTAGCTTGATACATAAAGCATACACCTAGGCGTATGTGTCATAAAGAATAGACAGACAAAAATTCAAAACCGCAAACAAATGCCACCAACCATCGAATTTTTTCATTCGCGATGTTGATTATTTAAAAGTTTTTAAAATATTTAAATAGATCTCTGAAAAAAAATATAAAAAAAATTCATGCCTTAGATAGACCTCTAAAAAAATCTTTAAAAAATCAACGCCTTGGTTACCTACTTAACTGGCTTGTTACAGAACGGTGTTCCATAAGCCGAGCTTAAACCAGTAGTAAAGTCGGACGGGGCCGACTATATGATACCCTTCACCACTATGGGTATATTAAACAGGACTATTAGCATGAAATTGGATGAAATAAAATATGTGATATTTATCTAAATGTGAATCTATCTAGATCTATCCATAAAGTATGTAAATCGGCTTCAAACAAATATAAATAGGTCATCCGTTGGGCTATGTCTGTACTTCTAGAAAACACAACTACGAAATTCTATCCTCAATTTTGTACGATGTGCAAACTTTGATGTCAATCTGACTAACATGAGGAGTTTAATATGGTGCGTCAATTACTTAAAATCAATAAGGGCTATTACTCAATTACTATAATAAAAAGGGCTATATCTATCTAAATCTGGACCGATTTTCACGAAACTTGGCAGACATCATTCTAGACCTAAATGATTAGGCTGTACCAAATTTCGTGCAAATCGAAAGATATATAAGGACTTTGGGGCACCATTTACATGAAATCGGACGAAACTATATATGGGAGATATATCTAAATCTGGACCGATTTTCTCGAAAGTTGGCAGACATCATTCTAGGCTCAATTCAGTACGTTATGCCAAATTTCGTGCTAGTCGAAAGATATATAGGGACTTTGGGGCACCATTTACATGAAATCGGACGAAACTATATATGGGAGCTATATCTAAATCTGGACCGATTTTCACGAAACTTGGCAGACATCATTCTAGACCTAAATGATTAGGCTGTACCAAATTTCGTGCAAATCGAAAGATATATAAGGACTTTGGGGCACCATTTACATGCAATCGGATGAAACTATATATGTGAGCTATATCTAAATCAGGACCGATTTTCATGAAACTTGGCAGACATCATTCTAGGTTCAATTAAGTACGTTATGCCAAATTTCGTGCAAATCGAAAGATATATAGGGACTTTGGGGCACCACTTACATGAAATCGGACGAAACTATATATGGGAGCTATATCTAAATCGGGACCGATTTTCTCGAAACTTGGCAGACATCTTTCTAGACCTAAATGATTAGGCTGTACCAAATTTCGTGCGAATCGAAAGATATGTATGGGGATTTTGGGCACCATTTACATGAAATCGGACGAAACTATATATGGGAGATATATCTAAATCAGGACCGATTTTCATTAAACTTTTCAGACATCATTCTAGGCTCAATTAAGTACGTTATGCCAAATTTCGTGCAAATCGAAGGATATATAGGGGCTTTGGTGCACCATTTACATGAAATCGGACGAAACTATATATGGGAGCTATATCTAAATCATGACCGATTTTCTCGAAAGTTGGCAGACATCATTCTAGGCTCAATTAAGTACGTTATGCGAAATTTCGTGCAAATCGTAAGATATATAGGGACTTTGGGGCACCATTTATATGAAATCGGATGAAAGTATATATGGGAGCTATATCTAAATCTGGACCGATTTTTACGAAACTTGGCAGACATCTTTCTAGACCTAAATGATTAGGCTGTACCAAATTTCGTGCAAATCGAAAGATATATAGGGACCGTTTACATTAAATCGGTTAAATATATATATGGGAGCCATATCTAAATCTGAACCGATTTTTCCCAATTTCAATAGGGTTTGTCCTTGGGCCGAATAAGTGACCTATGCCAAATTTCATCTAATTCGGATCATAAATGCGACCTGTACTTTGTTTACAATTTAACATGGACAGACGGACGGACGGACATGCATAAATCGACTTAGAAAGTGATTCTATGTATATTCTCAAAAGGAACCATGGGTCTATCTCGATTATTTTTGCCTGTTACAAACATATGGACAAAGACAAAATACTCTGTACAACAGTGTGGTGAAGGGTATAAAAAGATTTCCAAGCGCGTCGGTCTTGTGCGCAAGTCCACCAATTTGGAAGACCACGTTCTACTTGGTCTTTCCATCTAATTCGTGGCCTTCCCCTTCTACGGGAACCATCAGTAGGCTCATTTTTATATGCCTTTTGAGCTGGGCCATTTTCATTCATCCTAGCCATCGTAGTCGCTGCAGCTCAATACGACTGACTATGTCGATGACCGAGTATAAATTATAAAGCTAGCGGTTCATTCGACGCCGATATTCACCATCGACGCAGATCGGCCCGTAGATCTTTCGAAGAATTTTTGTCTCAAACACCCCAAGAGCTGCCTCATATGCTTGTGTAAGTACCCATGCATCTGATCCATATAATAGCACGGGTAGTGCGAATTAGACGAATTAGATGGCTTGTGACAGAACTTTCGTTCCATAAGCCGAGCTTAGAAAAGATTTTCAGGCGCGTCGGTCTTTTGCGCAGTTTTTCCAATTTGAAAGATCATTTTCGGCAATGTTGTCTTCGACTTCATCTTTCCATCGTATTCTTGGCCTTCCACTTCTGCGTGAACCATTAGCTGGTTCGCTTTTATATGCCTTCTGGGCAGGGGCATCTTCATCCATTCTCACAACATGACCTAGCCAACGTAGTCGCTACAGCTCAATACGTCTAACAATGTCGATGTACGAGAATAGCTGGTACAACTCATGGTTCATTCGACGGCGATATTCATCGTCAACGCAGATCAGCCCATAGATCTTTCGGAGAATTTTTCTCGCAAACACTCCAAGAACTGTCTCATCCGCTTGCGTAAGTACCCATGCTTTAGATCCATATAACAGCACGGGTAGTATCAGCGTCTTGTAGAGTTTAGGTGGCCTTGATTTTGAGTTGTTTGCTCAGACCATAGTAGCATCTGTTGGCCATCACAATCCTTCTCCGAATTTCAAAACTGATGTCATTCGTTTTATTTATGGCGGTACCAAGGTATATAAAGTCTTTAACTACCTCGAAGCTGTAGTTCTCAAGTTCCACAGTTGGTCCGAGTCTACTGGACGTCTTGCGCCAGTACATACCATCAGCTTAGTCTTCTCGCCGTTTACTGCCATAACCGCTTTGGCAGACTCCTTTTCAATTTGTTCAAAGGTGGCTGTTACCGCTCGCAACGTTCGACTCATTATATCGATGTCATCGGCGTAGGCGAGTAACATGTGTTGTTTGGTGTATAGATACATCATTTCTGTTCACCTTTGCCTCTCGTATGACCTTTTCCAGTAGGACGTTAAAAATGATCACAACGCCTTGGTTAGGCCTCTGAAAAAAATCTACGCCTTAGAGATAGACCTCTGAAAAAATTATATAAAAAATCTACGCCTTAGATAGACCTCTGAAAAAAATTATATAAAAAATCTTCGCCTCAGATAGACCTCTGAAAAAAAAAAATATTTCACAAAAACACTAATCAAAAAATCTGCATGATTTTAGATAGAGCTCTGAAAAAATTATACACAAAATCTACGCATTAGATAGACCTCTGAAAAAAAAACATTTCAAAAAAACACTAATCAAAAAATCTGCATGATTTTAAAGCTTTATTTTCATTTTCTATGGCAGCAACAGATTCTTCAACAGCAGTAACTTTCTCAGGACACTTTAAGATATCAGCCTTGAAATCAGTGAGGCAGGACGTCAACTGTTCTGCATTCATGTTGTCAAAGGCAGCTCTATTAGAATTTAATTCTTTCTGATGGGTTGCAGTAAAAGAATCCAGTTTCGATGAGAGATTTTCTAAGTCATCAGCGGTTCCATTTGCTGCAAACTCTTCATTTCACGGAGCCCTGGGTCTTTATTTAAGGAAAAAACAATTTTGCGATCAGCTGCAAACTAAACACACGTCTACCCAGGCATAGGGTTGGCAATCCCTATAGGTTAGGGATTTCATAGGTTAGGCCTATGAAAAAAATAATTTAAAAATCTACGCCTTAGATAGCCCTTAAAAAATAATTTAAAAATCTAAGCCTTAGATAGCCCTTAATAAATAATTTAAAAATCTACGCCTTGTTTAGGTCTCTGAAAAAACAAAACATATTTAAAAATATACACCTTTCTTTATCCACAAACATTTTTTTTAATATTTCTTTTAAAATCTAATATTAATTTTAAAATCCTAAAATCTAATTCCAATATTTTTGTATTTCTTCCAGGCTCTCGATTACGACTGTGAAGTCCAAGAACAACAGGACATCCCCCAGGCCATACAGCTGTTGGGTGAAATGAATAGCAATGTAAAACAAGTTACCGATTTGGTTGAGGGCATGTTGCAGCGTGTCAAACGTGGCGAACTGACCACAGAATACGGGCTCAGTTTTCTCGAAGTCAAATATCATATGCTACTCGATTATCTCATAAATTTGACCTATGTTGTGCTACGCAAATGTTCTGGTGAAACAATTGAAGGTGATCCTTCAATAGAACGTCTGATTGAAATTCGTACCGTTCTGGAAAAGATACGACCCATAGATTATAAACTCAGATATCAAATAGATAAATTGGTGAAAACCGCAACCACAGGTGTTTCCTCAACAACAGATCCAATTTTATATAAAGTGAGTTCCGGTACGGTAATTATTTTGAGTCAGATTTTAATCGGATTTTTTTTTCATTCCAGCCAAATCCTGAAAATATGTTAACTAATGAAAATGCCGATGGCGATGAGGATGAAGACGATGATGACAGTGCTTCCGAATCCGATGAAGAGGTGGACGATGAGCAGGGTGTTAAGAAACCCAAAAAGGGTGCCACCGCCGGCAAGCCTGGCATTTATGTGCCACCCAAAATCAAACCTGTCTACTATGATGGTGATGAGAAACCCGAGGATAAGGAAAAGAAATTGCTGGAAAGGGCCAAGAAACGGGCCATCACGTAAGTCCAATTTTTTCCTGCTTGTTCACTATGCTAATTGTTTTTTTCTGGTCTCTTAGGTCCTCCATGATGGAAGATTTGAAAGAGGAATATTTGGATGCACCTACAGAAATTTCTTCCGGTTCACGGGCCCAACAGATATTGTCTCGAGCCCAAAAGGAGAAGCAGGAATATGAGGAAGCCTATTTGACACGTCTGCCTGTGACCAAAGCTGAAAAGCATCGTAATAGGAAATTAACAACATTGGGTAAGGCCTCCAAAAATAATTATTAAAAAAAATCTACGCCTTGCCAAGGTCCCAGAAAAAATGTTTAAAAATCTATGGCATGTCTGGCCCTCAAAAAATCTAAAATATTTAAAAAATCTAATCCTTACCTAGGCCTCAGAAAATAATTATTTAAAAAATCTAAGCCTTACCTTACATAATTACTTAGCTGGCTTGTGACAGAAATTTCGTTCCATAAGCCGAGCTTAGAAAAGATTTCCAGGCGCGTCAGTCGTTTGCGCAGATTTTCCAATTTGAAAGGCCATTTTCGGCAAAACATCTAAGCCTTACCTTACTTAGCTGGCTTGTGACAGTACTTTCGTTCCATAAGCCGAGTTAAGAAAAGATTTCCAGGCGCGTTGGTCATTTGCGCACTTTTTTTCAATTTGAAAGACCATTTTCGGCGATGTTGTCTTCGACTTGATCTTTTCAACGTATTTTTGGCCTTCCCCTTCTGCCTGAACCATCAGCTGGTTCGCTTTTATATGCCTTCATGGCATCTGGGGCATCTTCATCCATTCTCACAACATGACCTAGCGTAACGTAGTCGATGCAGCTCAATACGTCTAACAATGTCGATGTCCGAGAATAGCTGGTACAACTCATGGTTGATTCGTCGGCGATATCCACCGTCAACGCAGATCGGCCCATAGATCTTTCGGAGAATTTTTCTCTCAAACACTCCAAGAGCTGTCTCATCTGCTTGCGTAAGTACCCATGCTTCAGATCCATATAACAGCACGGGTAGTATCAGCGTCTTGTAGAGTGTGAGTTTCGTCTGGCGGGAGGTGGCCTTGCTTTTGAGTTGTTTGCTCAGACCATAGTAGCATCGGTTGGCCATCACTATCCTTCTCCGAATTTCAAAACTGATGTCATTCGTTTTATTTATGGCGGTACGGTGGACGGTTTAAGCTGTAGTTCTTTAGTTCCACAGTTGGTCCGAGTCTACTGGACGTCTAGCGAGTTGATACCATCAGTTTGGTCTTCTCGCCGTTTACTGCCAGACCTACTTTGGCAGACTCCTCAATTTGTTCAATGGTGGCTGTTACCGTTCTCAATGTTCGATCCATTATATCGATGCCATCTCGATGCCTCTCGTATGACCATTTCCAGCAGGAAGTTAAAAAGATCACACGACAAACTGTCACCTTGTCTGAATGCTCGTTCGGTATTAAATGGCTCCGAGAGGTTCTTTCCGACTTTAACTGCTGACCGTGTGACACTTAAAGTTATCCTGCACAGCCGAATTAATTTTGAAGGAATGCCAAACGCTGACATGACTGTAAACACCTCTGAACGGATAGGGCTCTCGAATGCGGCTTTATAGTCGACGAATGTGTCGATGTGTTTTTCGTGGATTTTTTCCAGGATTTGGCGCAGTGTGAAAAGCTGGCCAATGGTGGACTTGCCAGGTCTGAAGCCGCATTGGTATGGTCCAATAATATCGTTGACCATTGGCTTCAGTCTTTCACACAGTACGCTGGATAGCACTTTATATGCGATGGGAAGGAGACTTATCCCTCTATAGTTGGCACATAAGACAATATGTATCCTTTTTTGTGCACGGGACACAGGATGCTGAGGTCTCAATCATTGGGCAAGCATTCCTCTAGCAACTTGTACTAATCAGCTGGTGCATGCTCCTTACCAGAATGTGACCACCAGTCTTGAATATTTCGTCTTGTAACCCATCAGCACCTGCCGCTTTATTATTCTTCGGCCGATTGATTGCTATTCTGACTTCATCTTGGCTAGGTGGTATACACTCTATACCGTCATCTATTATTGGTTCTGGGGGTATCCTCTTCACCGCTACTATTTGATACCAGAAGTTTTTCAAAATGCTCCTTCCAGATCCTCAGCACGCTGTCTGTATGTCACCAGGTTTCCTTCTTCATCTCTACAGGAGAATGTGCCAGCACCAAAGCCTTCGGTTTGGTGTTTTACCCATTGGTAAAATTTCCGGACTTCATTCTCAATCCTGTACATCTCGATTTGCTCACGCTCACGTTTTTCTTGTTCTTTCTTCTTTTTTCTGAAAACACGTTGCTCCTCTCTCCTTTTCCCCCGATAATTCTCCACCATATTACGTGTTGCTACTGTCTGCGGGGTTGCCCTATACGCTGCGTTTTTCACGCCAGTAGCATTACGACACTCCTGATCGTACCATGGGTCTCTTGGTGGAGGTTTTTGGTACCCAAGTGTTGCTTTTGCTGCATTTTGTAGGAAGTGGACAATTCTTTGCCATTGTACTTCTATACTATTTTCTGGGACAAGAAGTGCTTTCGTCAAGCAGGTGGGTAAGTTGAGCGGAGTAGACCTCGGCTACCTGTTGTGTTTGCAGCTTTTCGATGTCCAGTTTCCGTGTTGTGTTAGATCGCACCTTTGCTGCAACATTAAGATGAGTGCGAACCTTGGCTGCCACAAGTTAATGGTCCGAATCGATATTTGCTCCTTGGATCGATCGGACGTCTAAAACACTGGATGAATGCTTTCCGTCTATCACAACATGATCAATTTGATTTCTCGTTGTTCGATCGGGAGAAATCCAAGAGGCCCTGTGTACATCAAGATGCTTGAATCTGGTGCTGCTAACTACCATGTTTTTGCTGCCACGAAGTCAATCAATCTCATATTTCTTCATGGAAGCTGAATTTTCCGACGGTGGGCCAAAGATATTTTCCCTTCCGATTTTTGCAATAAAATCTCCTAGCAGAATTTTATTGTCATGGCCAGGGTAGCGATCATATGCTATTTCTAGGCGCTCGTAAAAAAATGTCTTTGGTCTGCTCATCTTTGTCTTCGTTCGGAGCATGGGCGCAAATAAGACTGATGTAGAAGAACTTCGCTTTTATGCGGATTATAGCAATTCACTCATCTACTGGAGTGAATCTGGAGACGAGGTCTTTTATTCTTCTGTTAACCATAAATCCGCAGCCAAATTCATGTCTCGTTTCATGGCAGCTATAATACAGGGCGTAATAGTCAGATTCACTGAAGTCTGTCACTTTCTATCGCATTTCCTGTAAGGTAATAATATCGTCTTTGTACTTCTTGAGTACATCCGCCAAAGCGAAAACTGTGCCTGTTCTGTACAACGTGTGCACATTCCAAGTGCAGATTCGCAGATCGTGGTCCTTTATACGTTTGCGGGGTTTGGTTTTCTTTTTCTTTGCTTTTTCATACTAGGAGGGGTTTTCTGAGTGTGGGCGGCTAACCCGACGCCTCAACCCATTTTTATACCCTACACAACTATGTTGTCAGGGTATTATAGCTTTGTGCAGCCCAAAAAGTTTGTAACGCCGCGATCCGATCGTCATATCTCGACTAGCTGAGTCGATCTAGACATGTGTGTCCGTCCGTCCATCCGTCTGTCCATTATAATTTGTAAACACGATACAGGCCACAGTTATGGACCAATCTTCACGAAATTTTGCATGTAGGATAGGTTCTGGCCAATGAAGACCCCTATTGTTGTTGGAAAAGATCAGTTAATATTTAGGGGATGAAATGGACCAAAAACTTTATTTTTGTCGGTTTTTCTGGTCGCTCCAGAGGCCGCAATTATGGCCCGAACATCGTGAAATTTTACATAGTGTAGGGGATCGGGCCAAAGAATTAGCATGCCTATTTTGATAAAGATCGGCCAATATTTAGCGGGTCAAATGGACCCTGACTTTTGTGTGAAAAAATTACAAAATTTGTATTCTATGGGGTATATATTTGCACCTGAAAGTCATAGACCCGAGAAGTTGATAGTATGTTCAAGAGGAATGGTTGACCTTTAAATTGATACGCAATTATATTGTCGTATGTACCCGGATGCGGGACTTACACATAAATATTTACAGGTGCTTACGTATCCATATATTATTTAGTAACCCATTACCATACTAGAGGGCGGAAATATAGCGCTGATCGCTTTGAAATTTTCCATGAGGTGATGATCAGATAATAATTTTGGAATGAAGTGGCCCAAAAATTTATTTTATGGTGTTTTTTTCGAGTCGATCTATAGGCAAAAATTGAAAGCCGAACATCACAACACTACCCACGGTGAAGGGAATCTGGACAAGTAATTAGAATGGCTGTACTGAATATTTTTAATATTTGTTGACCTCTACTCGGTCAAGAGGGTGCAAATATTGCGAAATATTGCCCAAGCTCAGAATATAGAACCACAGAAAGTTATAGTTTCGTGGAAGTTGTGTAGGGTATCATATGGTCGGCCCCGTCCGACTACACTGCTCCGCTCACTGGTTTTATAGTTATTATGGGTGATCTCGCTCACTATTTCAACGGGTGATGAAAATAGCTACCCCAGGTAACACCGCGGGGAGGTCAGTGTCCACAATTGAGATGAAAGAGGGACCAATATAAGCATGGTATCTATCATCCCCTACGCCACACCTACGCCTTGGAAAAAACATTTTAAAAATCTATGCCTTGTCTAGTCCTTGGAATGAATTATTTAAGAAATCTACGGTTTGGCTAGGCCTTGGAAAAAAATTATTTCAAAAATCTGAATCTAATTTTTCTTTTTTATTAATTCCAGGTACATTGGGCGATGAAATCTTGGGCGAAATTAGCCGTGATGCTGCCTTACGTGGTGATTCGCTGGGTGGCAAAAAACGAAAAGCCAAATCGGGTAAAGGCAAAAAGAAAGGTGGCAAGAAACGTAAATTCCATTAAATCGAGGATTCGCCGAGAAGAATAACTGAATATAAAAAACGGACCCGCAATTCAAATAAAAATAAATTTAATAGCATTATTACAAGAAACAAAACTTAAACTGAAACAAACAATGTAATTAATGATAAAAACCCCCCTTCAATAAGTAACAGAAAAAAAACTTAATTGAAACTCTTGGAAAAAGCAACAACACTTTTTTATATAATTATAAATTCCCCGTTTTTATATATGAAACAAAAAAGAAAGAAAAGTAACAAATACAAGATAAGAAAAAAACAGCAATATGTGGAATGAAAGTGAAGAAAAAATTAATATTGCAATGAGAAAAATTACACAAAATGAAAATAGTAAACATTTTTTTTTTTTTGAAGTACCAAACAAGGATTTGAAATGAAAAAACATAACTAATTTTTTTTAGTTTAGTTTAATTTTTTTTTTTTTTTTTGGTTACAAATAATATCGTAATTTTTGGAAATACATTTATGTATTTAATATTAAAAGCAAATTAAATATATTTTATATTTAAGAAAAAAAATAATTTTTAATTTTTATAAATCAATAAATAATATAAATGAAAATAATATAATTTCCATTATAATAAATTAATAAATATATAACACAATTTTTTTAAAACATTAAATATGTTGTTATGTTTCTTTTCTTCTCTTACACATTATGTTAATTTTTTTCTATAGACTGTTTTGATAGAGTTATTTTTTTATAAATCCAAGCTTTTTTATCATATCAGTTATTTTTTATATAACAACAAATCTGTTTGTTTTTTGTTCTCTTTTTGAATTTCTGTTTGATTTGATTTTTTTTATATAATTTTTATATATTAAGAAAATATATTACACTATGTTTCATTTGAATAACTTTTTTTCCAACCCCATTTTTTATTATGTAATAAAATTCCTGAAATTTAAAAAAAATTGTTTTTTTTCTAATTTAAGTTTATTTATTTATTATTTTGTTTTTTAATTTATTCAAAATATTTTAATATTCTTATATACTTTTTCCAACAATTATTTCACCTCTATTCCATAATATGATTTTGTTTTTTTTTTTTTTTTTTTTTTTTTGAAACACCCAAGGATTGTAAAAAAATTCCATTGAAAATTTTTTTAAAAAAAATTTATTCGATCTTCAAGTGTCATATATATATTTTTTATACCCTTCACCACACTGTGGTACAGGGTATTATGTCTTTGTGCATATGTTTGTAACAGGCATAAGGAAACGAGATTGACCCACGGTTCCTTTTGAGAATATGCACAGAATCACTTTCTGAGTCGATTTATGCATGTCCGTCCGTCCATCCATGTATTTTTGTTAACAAAGTATAAGTCACTTATTTGGCCCAAGGACGAACCCTATTGAAATTGGGAAAAATCGATTCAGATTTAGATATAGCTCCCACATATATTTTCGTCCGATTTAAGATAAATGGGTCTCCAAAGTCCCTATATATCTATCGATTTGCACAAAATTTGGCATAGAGTACTGAATTAGGTCCAGAATGATGTGTGCCAAGTTTCGAGAAAATCGGTTCAGATTTAGATATAGTTCCCATAAATATTTTCGTCCGATTTAAGGTTAATGGGGCTCCAAAGTCCCTATATATTTTTCGATATATAGGGTACTTAAGTGGTGAAGGGCAGGGACGTACGAAATGAATTTCAGTTCACAGTAAATTTATGTTTGCAACAGCGAATTTGTTCATTTTGTACTACCGGGCCCTCCCCGAAATGAAATCCTGTGTACGTTGCTGGTGAAGGGTATCACATAGTCGGCCCATCCCGACTTTACTACTTTCCTTACTGGTTTTATAACTAATTCATTGGAAATTATCATAATCGATTATTATTTAACTACTAATGTATCAAGGAAGACAAATGTATGTATTAAGATAATTTCATAAATTTTTAATCAATCGATTCTGTGTTTATAAAACCCCCTAATGTTGTATAATGTAGACCCATTCTATGTCGAAATATAATGTCGAATGTCTGAGGAAGTATTTCTCTTTACAGGTGACATTGGAGGACTTTTGAAAGTGTATTCTTTACAAAAACCCACACGTAAAGATGGCCATAAAAAATAACTTTTCAAAATCTTGCCAATGTGTCCAAGAGAATAAAAAAGATCTGAAAAAATCCATGGATATAGCTGTAATGCCGATAATAAGCAATGTAAGTTCATATATTGATGTATCCCCCCACATATAAAGGTCCCGCCTCATGACTGCATAGCTAAATGGCTGCAATTTGACATTGATAAACATATTTCGATAGCTCTATGTTTTGTGATAGCCACAATATTAAAGGTCCCGTCCACTTTCGATACTTTATGTGTTAACAACACTTAGCCGACGGATCCTATTTTCGAACTTGATCTAGGCTTGGTACAGATAATAGGTTGTGCAAAGTTTGATTCCAAAGGAATCAAAGGAATCCACTCCTCTTTTAGAGCCCTAAAAAATATTCTTTAATAAATCCACGGCCCTTATAGAGCCCTAAAAAATATTCTTTAATAAATCCACGCCCCTTGTAGAAGCCTAAATAATATTCTTCAAAAAATCCACGCCTCTTATAGAGCCCTAAAAAATATTCTTCAATAATTCCACTCCTCTTGTAGAGCCCTAAAAAATATTCTTTAATAAATCCACGCCTGGACTGGACTATGCCTGAAAGAATCCAATATTTTTATTTACAACCAATTCTGTATGTCTGAAGAGGAGTTTGAAGAGGACTTAGCTTCCGTTGGAAGAGCTTCCATAAACATCGCATATTTTGCTTCTATACTGTGCATAACTTTGGCCTTGTTAGGTCGTCATGTAGGATATCTTTCGATTAAAAGTTCCTTAGTGTCATTTTGTGTGCGTAGTCATGGTCATTATATTTTGTCGAAATAGAAAGAATTCAATTGTTGTGGGGGTCTTGGTTGACATATATCTGGAAAGAGTAGATTGTATTCAAATTTTGAGGTTTTTGTTTGAAATAAAAAAAATATGAAATAATGTCGTCCTAATACTAGTTGAAGCGTCCATGTATCAAGAAGTCTCCAAATACAATCGGTACACTGGCTGCTAGCTATTTAATGCCGCGTAATACCCTTTCGTTTGGTAGTCATCCTTCGTGGTGGGAGACTCGTGATTACTGGTTTAGGTTCAGGGTAGCCATCCATTATCCGTCTCATTAATCCAAGGATTATTGACACTCGGTCTGAGACTATCTCCTATTGACCCGCTAATTGTCCCTGACTGCTTATTTCATTCGCAACTGCCCAATGAAGTACTTAGCTTTGTTTCCCACATACCGAGTTGACAATACCACAACAATGGAGTTCTGGACTACATTATCGATAGGTGGTGTATAATTCGGCAATATCTTAAATATTGCGATAAAATCACTTTCTGAGTCGATTTATGCATGTCCGTCCATCCGTCTGTCTATGTTAAATTGTAAACAATGTACAGGTCGCATTTATGATTCGATTTGGATGCAATTTGACACAGCTCATTTATTTGGCCCAGAGACGAAACCTACTGAAATTGGTGAAAATCGGTTCAGATTTAGATATAGCTCCCATATATATTTTTGGCCGATTTTATGTAAATGGTGCACCAAAGTCCCTATATATCTCTCGATTTGCATGAAATTTGGCATGGCGTTCTGAATCAAGTCTAGAATGGTGTCTGCTAAGTTTCATGAAAACCGCTTCAAATATGGATATAGCTCCCTTATATATTTTCGTCCGATTTTAAGCAAATGGTGCACCAAAGTCCTTATATATCTCTCGATTTGCATGGAATTTGGCACAGTGTAATGAATTAGGTATAGAATAATGTGTGTTAAGTTTCGTAAAAATCGGTTCAGATTTAGATATAACACACATATATATTTTTTGTCCGATTTTAAGTAAATGGTGCACCAAAGTCCCTATATATATCTCGATTTGCACGAAATTTGGCACAGCGTAATGAATTAGGTATAGAATGATGTGTGTTATGTTTCCTGAAAATCGGTTTAGATTTAGTTATAGCTCCCATATATATTTTCGTCCGATTTTAAGTAAATGGTGCACCAAAGTCCCTATGTATCTCTCGATTTGCATGAAATTTGACACAGCGTACTGAATTGAGCTTTGAATGGTTTGTGCTAAGTTTCATGAAAATCGCTTCAAATATAGATATAGCCCCCTTATATATTTTCGTCCGATTTTATGTAAATTGTGCACCAAAGTCTCTCAGATTTAGATATAGCTCACATATATATTTTCGTCCGATTTTAAGAAAATGTTGCACTAAATCCCTTGGTTTTGAATTAAGTCTAGAATGATGTGTGTCAAGTTTCCTGAAAATCGGTTCAAATTTAGATATAGCTCCCATATAAATTGTTATCCGATTTAAAGTAATTTAGCATAGCGCACTTAATTAAGCCTAGAATGATGTGTGCTAAGTTTCGTGAAAATCGGTTCAGAATTAGATATTTTCCATATATATTTTCGTACGATTTTATGTAAATGCTGCACCAAAGACCCAAAATTTATTTCGATTTGCACGAAATTTGGCTTAGCGTTCTGAATTGCGTCTAGAATAAGTTTCGTGCAAATCGGTGCAGATTTAAATATAGCTCTCATATATAGGTTCGTCCGATTTCATCTACTTTGTGTAACATGTAACCAAAAATTGTGCCATAGCAGTAGCAATGACATTTTCACGGTGTGGCTTAGTACCGAATTAAGTCTGGAATGAAAAAAAAATTTCAGATATCCATAAAGAAGGCCCAACACTCAAGTGTTCAGGATTTTCCATTCATCTTGGGAAGGAATTTTCTATTAATAAAAATTAATTTTAATTTGTATTATTTTTTATAATAATATTTTTATTAAACTAAATTGTTGTATGTTTCTATTAAAAATATTTATATAATTTTTTAATAGAAATTATGTCATTTTTTTATTTTTTTATTTTAATTTTTTAATTTTTATTATAATATA